ATGCCTTACCTTCACAGGCAGTTAATGTCCAGAGGACAACCATAAACTGCATATTCTTATTTCTCTGGATACAGAATGTGCTCTCTCTCCCCAAGTCTGGGGCAATGGATTGAGAGCTAGTAGGCTCCAGTATACATCAGTGTTCCTTTACAATACTAGTTCTTCCAGCTTATCTGTCACCTAACACTATGTTAAACATACTAATACTTTTAACAGGAAAGGGAGGGAAAAAAATAAAAAGGAAACTGAAAGGAAGAGTGGTGCGGGGGGGGAAGTGAGTATGATCATCTCTGCAAATGTCCAGTGGCACATAGACTTAAGAGTTTATGACTCTGCAATCATCTCAGCTCCTTAAGGGTGTATCTTTACCAGTTCCCCAAGTACACAGGTTACTGCCTTTGCCAGGACAGCATGACTCCCTTCAAGCAGGGTAATCTGCCACGCACATCAGGTCTGCCACGCAGTGAGGCATTTTAAGGAATCTGTCACCCACAGCCTACAATTCCGAGAGTTAGGATCTGCTACCTTGAGCGACATGAAATAGCAAGCCCCTAGAAACTTCTCTTCTTAATGTCATCATTCTCATGACATTTGGACAAACAGGAAAACAACCAGACCACCTTCTTTTAGGCTTTACAGACCACTAAGCAAAGAGGCCTGAGCTTTCTTCAATGAAACTTAGGGACATGAAAGTTCATGTTCTGACCCTGATCTAGTCTCTGTCAATGAAACTAAGTCACTTTCCTTTCTATTGGTTTTGTCTTCCTGTCTACGAAATATAGCCCTGATACCATTAACCCATTCCAGAAGATAGCAAGGAACCAGACAGATATTCTTGATTGAATTTCAAGTAAACCCCCTTGGGCTGCTTCTAATCACCAGCCTACTGCCTTTAGTTCTAATGTCAAATGTCAATAAAATCCAGATACTACATCTCTTCTCAATTTGGGTAATATTTTGAATATTTTACAAATAACTGCAGGCAACAAAGCAAGATAGACATGGAAAGAAGATATACAAATAGTGAGTTCACAGGGGGAAAAGGATAAAAATACAAAGGTGGGAAGCACTTCCTGGTTTTGGAATAAAAGACACAGTGGCAAAGGATGGCGTCCATGAATAAAACATGTAAGTATACAGAAAAACCACCAAAAGTAAAAAAACAGGAAAACACCAGAAAATATTTATTTTATATGAAGGTTACTACTGTTGGCTATAAAAAGAAATCCTTTAAAAAGTAAGAGTCTTTGGAAGCAAAAGATAGGAAGGTGTAAACTAATTAAAAACAGGCTAGCGACAGGCAACATCATGTGTATGCCGAGATGGAGTATAGCCATAAAAGCCTGGCGCACACATGCAGTGTATTAGGTTGAAAATGCATGTCTCTTCAGCTTCATATCTATTAAAGGAACAAACAATTTACAGGTTGCTGCATTATGGGAGTATGATATGTGGAGTGTCAATCTTTTCTCTTCAAACTGAAGCATGTTAAGTAAAATCAATGATGGGGTTTGGGGGGTAGGGGAAGAAAGGGGAAAAGCAGGGAGAAAGTAAGTTTTTAAAAATCTCTGCCTCAGCAAAAGTTTTCATTACAATTTTAGACAAATGATCCCTGTGTCCTTCTCCCTTGCTGCCTGGGGCTCCATGCTATTTCTATGCAAATAACAACCTCGTGGTTTATATCTTATTATTTCCACCGGAGCTGCAGCGACATGACCTGAGACATGTAAGAGGTGGGGGTGGGGGGGGCAGAGGGGGGGAGTTGGAGAGTAGACAGAAAGAGAGAGAGAGAGTGGGAGGGGGAGGGGGACAGAGGGAGAGAGAGAGAGAGAGAGGGTGTTCACTCAAGTGTGAAAAAATATTGTCAGGAGTGAGCATCAAGAACAACAAAAAAAAAATTGCAGGGATAACGTGTTTATTTCAGTCCCCCCTAAAACCCCCCAACCCCCCCTTCCTGCAAACCAGCACCTTTTAAAATTCATTGGGCATCAGGCGATCATGCACAATCCATCTGCTTTCACTTTATCATTTGCATTTCATGCCTCCTGGCTTTTGATGTGCTGATACTTTGATGCAGTCAGGAGACGCGCATTATCATTATTTCAATTTTCAAAGGGGTCAACGGGATCGGCACTTGCACACACAAGATTTTTTCCCCCTACAACCTCTGAACACCCCCACTCCTTATTCTTCACCCCAATGTTTAACATAAAGGATGAAGACTCAAAAAGGTGGGGGTCAAATATTTACAATCTAAGACTGTATATAGGCTTGCATATGTCTCCTACATTTCCACTTTACACAGGTACATACTATGAGCACCAAGGCTTAAGAAAGGAGGCTCTACAATGTTTCAAATACACAAAGACTTTCTCACACATGGACACTCAGGGAGGCACACAGACAGAGAAAGAGGGGGATCCATATGCAAGACACAGACACAAAGAGACAGAAAGATCAGCACCCACACGGAAAGAGACATGCACTCAGGGTGACTTGCACACACCCAGAGTACACAATACAGAGAGATACCTACAGAAAGAAAGGCAAACAGAGATGAAGAAAGACACCAGCACACACAAAGGCAACACGCACAAGGAGTGAGTCAGAGGAAGCCATCTGAGCATGGTAGTTTCCTTTTTCATACCTGATAGGCAAAGGGGCTGATAGGACATTCTGAATGAATTTGCATGAAATCGGGTGTCTTCAGCAGCACAGCTGTATACTTAAGAGGAGCTGACATGAATATAGTGAAGCAGGCAGAGCAACATTAGGTAACCTCTGTATCTGATCACTCCCTTCAGCTAAAAACAATCATGTCCTTTTAGAAGTGAGCGTTGTTTGGTAAGTTAAAGCTATAGCTTTATTTGTCTTTCACCCTGTAACTAAGCTTTTCTTTTAACAAGCAGCCCTGTAAGCTATGAAGGTGAATATAATGAATTTGATTAGAACAATTCAGTCAGATTTTAAGAAATCAATCTCTAATGTCTCTTCATGGCACAAATGAAATTCAACTAGCAAGTTTTCAAGCAAAACAAAACCAAAAACCCAACATCTGCTTTTTGTAATATTCTTTGTATATAATATAGTATCAGGGAAGAGGGGAGAAAGAAACTCAATATAAGAAGATACATTTCAGAAATTAGCTCTCTGACTGGGTATGGGAACATCATGGAAATATAGGTTTTTTAAGTACCATTATCTATGAGAACAGAATTTTTAAAATCTTTCAAACATTCTGTTCTCATAGATAATGGTACCTAAAATTATCTTCAGCATTCATCAATATCTCATCCTAAGAAGGTATCCAAAAGAGCAACTTAAAAAAAAACAACCTTAAGACTCTCAGCAGTTTCTCCCACTGCAATAATAATCTTTAATAGTAGTGGTTCATAACCTTTATTTCCAGGCTACTCTCCAAAAAGGGAGGAAGACAGCCAAGTTCGCCACTGTTAGCACTGCTGTGCCTTTCCTTGGTGAGAAAAAGCAAGCCCAGAGGAGGATACAGTGTTTATATGAATGCAGAGAGCAAGCTGATCACATCAAATGATTCCTCTAATTTCTGACATCCACAAAATCTAATTAAACCAATGGAATTTTCAACTTTTTCCTAAATGGGAATGATAGAACACTTAATTCTTATCTTTACACTTGAAAGTCAAGACTTGATAAAAAGTTCCCGCAAGTAGAGCAAATGTAATATCTGATACAATTTAGTACGTGTATTAACTCCATAAGCTCAATCACCAAATCATGTTAGAGAGAGGAACGGGAAACTGAAATTTTAGCTCAATCACCAAATCATGTTAGAGAGAGGAACGGAAATTGAAATTTTAATGCGGGCCAACACTTTTCACCAAGAACTAGGTACTTTTTTTTTTTTTTTAAAGAAATGGGGTCTTACTATGTTGTCCAGGCTGGATTCAAACTCCTGGGTTCAACCTCTCCTCCTGCTTCAGCCTCCTGAGTAGCTGGGAATCTAGGCATGTCCAGTAGAACTCGGTACTTTTACTTATGTTTTCTCATTTGAGCTCCACATTATTTAAAGGTTTAAATTATTATCCCCCTTTGACAGATAAGAAAGCTGAGGAGTTGAGAGGTTATATAAGTTGCACAAGGGCAGTCAGCCTCAGACTATTCCATTACATTTTTCTGGCCCTGAGGAGAAAATAATTTTCCTATGCTTGCAAAGGTGTCAGAACTGCACTGTCCTTTATATATTCAGGTATTCTTAGATAGTTTTCACTCTTACGAACAGTGACTGCAACCATCCATTTTTCCCCCCTTGGAAAAGCCCTTGTAAAGTTGGATTTAAAAAGTACAAACCTTTCTTTGGAAGGGAAGATAAATCTTTATGCATACTCTTTCCCGTAATCCATCCATGCATCCATTCACCCATCTTCCCACTCAATATTTGCCAAATATTTCTTCTATATACAAGAGACCACCATCGGTGCCCTTATCGAGAGGTGTATTTACAGATTTCACAAAATCATTAAAACTTGATAGTCTCAACACCTAGGCCAGTACCTAATTCATAATGTAGGTCTGAAATGGGAACTAGCACAGCTGGAATCAGAGACAGCTCAATGTCTGAGTACAGATCTCCTCACATCTTTTACTAATAGATTAAGAAAAAGAGAGTAGAGGAGGGACAGAACAGAAGCGTTCAATTAATTCTGTCTTTCCACAATGACACTGAAACGTTAAGTGCTTTGGAGCAGTGGTTTTATATAGTTTGTTCACTAACATATACACAGGGCTTGGAACAGTGCCTAGAAAACAGTAAGTACTCAAAATAGTTGAGAAATGAAATAAATGAATGAATGAATAAAAAGGCAAGCAAGTCAATGGGCAGAAAAGATGGAGGGAGAGGGGAAGAGATAGACTGAGGAAGGCATGGATTCAACTGCTTCCTTCCAATCAGGATCTTGAATTAAGAATTCACAAAATAATCTTCAATCAGCTATGTAAACTTCTTCAAAACCCTAAAAACTTACTTTGTTGAGGGCTCCAGCTCCTGTTAGAATTAAGTGAGAATTCTCAACCTGGATGGTTCTCTGTCCCAGCCGGACAAGGTAAGCCCCAATCCCAATGGCCCGGCACGTCACCTTAAAAAATAAATTCTACATGTCACATATTTATGTCCTCTCTGAAGCTGTAAGAACTAAGGCATAGATAAGTAAAATCCAAATTAACAGAAATAAACATTGCTTTTTATGAAGTCTGTTTGATAACAACACACACAAAAAAATTTCATGGTCAAAGAAAAGAAAATACAATGATGCAAAATTCAGGCTGCGTGCAAGGACTCATGCCTATCATCCTAGCACTTTGGGAATCTGAGGTGGGCGGATCGCTTGAGCCCAGGAGTTCAAGACCACCTTGGGGCTGGGCGAGGAAGCTCACACCTGTAATCCCGGCACTTTGGAAGGCTGAGGCGGATGAATTACTTGAGGTCAGGAGTTTGAGACCAGCCTGGCCAACAAGGTGAAACCCTGTCTCTAGTAAAAATACAAAAATTATCTGGGCATCGTGGCACGTGCCTATAATCCCAGCTACTCGGGAGGCCAAGGCAGGAAAACCATTTGAACCCGGCAGGTAGAGGTTGCAGTGAGCTGAGATCACGCCACTGCACTCTAGCCTGGGCAACAGAGTGAGACTCTGTCTCAAAAAAAAAAAGACCAACTTGGGCAAAATAGCGAGACCCCCATCACTACAAAAAATTTAAAAATTAGCTGGAGGTGGTGGCACATGCCTGTAGTCCTAGCTACCTGGAAGCTGAGGTAGGAGGATCACTTCAGCCCAGGGGGTAGAGGCTGCAGTGAGCTATGATTGCACCACTGTACTCTTGCTTGGGTGATAGAGTAAGACCCTGTCTCTTAGAAAAAAGAAAGAGCGGCTGGGTATGGTGGCTCGCCTGTACTCCCAGCACTTTTGGAAGCCGAGGCGGGTGGATCACGAGGTCAAGAGATTGAGACCATCCTGGCCAACATGGTGAAACCCCGTCTCTATTAAAAATACGAAAATTAGCTGGGCATGGTGGCACGCGCCTGTAGTTCCAGCTACTCAGGAGGCTGAGGCAGGAAAATTGCTTGAACGCGGGAGGCGGAGGTTGCAGCGAGCTGAGATCACGCCATTGCACTCCAGCCTGGTGACAGGGCAAGACTCTGTCTAAAAAAAAAAAAAAAAAAAAAGGAAAAGAGAAGAAAGGAAGAAAATAAAAAGAAGTTAAACTAAAAGCTAAAACAAAGTACTGGGTTTATTTGAAAAATTCAGTTATTTATATTATCCTATCTTCCTATTATCATGTGTGATTAAAATAAAATTGTAGACACACAATCTTCAAGAATCATTTGGGACAGAACAGCAGTGATAAGAGAAAAAATAAACCTAGTTACACAGCTAACTCTTCAAAAATTTCACATTCTGGAAAGATTTACCAGGCTGATGGTAATGATCTCATTATAGGCCAATGAGGATTCTCCAGCAATCATTCCAGAACCTCGAAGGTTCTCAGGTCCAATTCCCTCTTCTTTCCCAATAATATCTGTTATCTTGTACCTATTGGATATGGCCATGTCAAATTACGAAGGTTAAACACAGTAACAACAAGCCATTAAAATAATAATCACCATTAAAAGTCTGCTAAAAGTGCATTGAAAGCTTATATTTAATACCAGGGCTTTATGTGCTTCCTTTTATACTCTTCATTTATATGTATTTCCTTCTTAGCTTGGGCCTATTTTACCTGGAAGCAATATGGCTTAATAGGAAGAGCAAAATCTGGAATTAAGCAGATAGACTTTTTTTTTTTTTGAGACGGAGTCTCGCTCTATTGGCAGGCTGGAGGGCAGTGGCATGATCTTGGCTCACTGCAACCTCTGCCTCCCAGGTTCAAGCGATTCTCCTGCCTCAGCCTCCCAAGTAGCTGGGACTACAGGTGCATGCCACCATGCCTGGCTAATTTTTGTATTTTTAGTAGAGACAGGGTTTCATCATGTTGGCCAGGATGGTCTCAATCTCTTGACCTTGTGATCCGCCCGCCTCGGCCTCCCAAAGTGCTGGGATTATAGGTGTGAGCCACCACGCCCAGCCAAGCAGAGAAATTTAAATCCTTGCTCTGATACACGCAGGAGTGTGACTCTAAAGATAATAATAACTTCTACAAAATGGGAATAATAATATCTACCTCTAAGGGTTGACAAGAAAGTTAAATTAAAGCAAACAAGGAGAAGGTTTGACGTTATAGATGGCCCTCAGATTTTAGATGCCCTCGCTTATTTTCTAGAACAAATTTTTTAAAAGCAAGGTCAATGTGTATCTCTGTAATGAGCAACAGGCATCATATGAACAATTTTAGACTATTTTACATAGGAAGAGAATATCCAAACAAAGTGGTAGGGAGAATGAATGCTCAGCTTAGTTTCTCAAGTCAAAAATCCTCTTCTAAGGTGGGATGAAACGAAGGTCAAAATACTGAACTCTCATTCCTGCTCCTTCATAAATATCAAATATATACACAAGGGTCCCTGGATATGTCCTCTGGAGGGGCAGGTGGAATGTGTGTAGAAGTGAAATGCTGACCAAGTTGTCCAGAAAGCATCCTGTGGATCTAGTGGGAGTCACTCATCTGTCTTCCTGGCAGGGGATTAGGAGTGATAGCTGATAATGGGAAATGGGAGATGGGGAATGTAACTAATAAAAGAAAGGAAAAATACAAAGTTGAAAGTAGAGATGGGCATATATTATTTATTGTTCCACCTATACCCAGAAGGCTTGGCAGTGGGCATAGTTTTATAAATTGAAATAATAAATAAGTACCCCATAGTGGCTCTTAAAATACTTCCTCCTGGCCCCATATTTTCCTGCTCCCTTCTTCATTTCCAGCCCTCCATCAATTCTTTTTCTTTGCCCTTGCTGTTGATCTGTGACTTTGCATCTCTGCTTCCCAGATTCTGCTGTCTTTCTATTTTTAGCCTCTCCTAATATCCAATAATTTCCCAGTTCTTCCTTTTGTTCTGTATCTAGACTCTGTCCTAAAGTTATATCAGAAATGAAGCTACTGTCCCTTAAGGGGGTTAATTAACTACATTAATCGTATATGTGTGTGTGTGTGCCTGCTTGTATAAGGTCCATATAGTCGTAAATATTCAAGGACCCAGCCAGATTTGCCTGTAACAAACTCAATATTCATAGATTCCAGAAATGAAGAGTTAAAAAATATCATAGGGGAAAAATCCCATTCAGAGTAGCAAGAAAAAATGCAAACTATTTAGAAATAAGCATGAAGAAATTGGCAGAATCTCACCATAACCATATTGTGCCCCAAGGCACCATGATGAACTCCCAGAAGCATTACAAGATATTTTAAATTTTTGGGAGAAGCACTATTATATGTGATATCTGTGACCCTATGTGAACTACTAGCTTTAGATAGTTCAGAGTAGTTCACAGTTTGTTAGAATAGTGCTACATTCCTTTTGAAAATGTCCTGTCTTTGCAAAGCTAGATTTTTGAAGTTTCTGTGAAAACTCAATGAAGAACAAGAAATGTGGGTGGCTATATCCAAGCTGATTCCAAGGTTTGAGATGTTATGCTGACACAAATATCTCATTAGTAAGTAACTGTAATTATTTAAGAATAAATTTTTTCAATTTACGTATATAATTTTTTCAAATGATTATTAAGTTATTAGGACACAAATACTTATTGTTTAACTACCTAATAAGCAGAAATATTAAGTGTATCTTATACTCTAGGGGTGCTATGAAAAAATTACTGAGACACTAAGGATGCGATGAACCAAGAAAGTTTGGGAACCTCTGGCAAAATCTATATGAAGAAAACTACAAAACGTAAAAACAAAACAAAACAAAAAAACCACTCATACAAATGGAAAAACATACGATGTTTCTTTTTGGGGAAAGTTAGTATTATGAAGATGCCAGTTCTTAAATTAATGTGTAAACTCAATGCAATCTGAATCAAAATCATTATGAAAACTTTTTTGGAATTAGAAAAACATGAGCCTCAAGCCAAACACAGTGGCTTGCACCTGTAATCCCAGCTACTTGAGAGGTTGAGGTGGGAGGATTGAGGTCAGGAGTTCGAGACCAGCCTGGGGAACGTAGCAATATTCTATCTCGGAAAAAAAAAAAAAAAAAATTAGCTGGGCGTGACGGCGCCTGTCTATAGTCCCAGTTGCTTGGGAGGCTGACATGGGACAATCTCTTAAGCTCAGGAGTTTGAGGGTTCAGTGACCTATGATCACACCACTGCATCCCAGCCTGTGCAACAGAGTGAAACCCTGTCTCTAAAAACAAAAAACAAAAACCCTCTACATTAAAAAAAGCAAAAGTAGCCAATAATACTTGAGGAAAAATTTAAAATGTGAGAAAATTTGTCCCACTAGAATAGTTTAAATAGTGTGGTATTAGCCCAAGAGTAGACAGAACAAAAAAACACAAAAAAATAAATTTTCAGTAAATAGTATTAGGGCAATGAACTTTTTTTCTTTTCTTTTCTTTTTTTTTGAGATGGAGTCTTGCTCTGTCACCCAGGCTGGAGTGCAATGGTGTCATCTCAGCTCACTGCAACCTCCACCTCCTGGGTTCAAGCAATTCTTCTGCCTCAGCCTCCCAAGTAGCTGGGACTACAGGCATGCATCACCAGGCCTGGCTAATTTGTGTATTTTTAGTAGAGATAAGGTTTCTCCATGTTGGCCAGGCTGGTCTCGCACTCCTGACCTCAGGCTATCTGCCTGCCTCAGCCTCCCAAAGTGCTGGGATTACAGGCCTGAAACTCCACACCTGGCCGAGCAATTAACATTCTTAAAAATACTTGCAGATAGATTATATGAAAATGTTCAACTTCACTGGGAGTCAAAATAACAATTGCCGTTTTTATTCCATTTTATTATTTGACAATAATCAATGTTGGCAGGGGTGAAGAAAAATTAAAGAGGGAAACAAATCCTATTCTATACTGCTGACAGGAATGCAAATCTTGGGAAGGCAATTTAAAATTATTTTTTAAAACCCTTTAAAATTGACTTTTTGACCTGTAATTTCACTTCTAGAAATCAAGCAAAAAGGGATGATCAGAGCTTTTAATTCCTAAAAGTTTATGTGAAATTTATATAAATGTCCCTTAAGGGGGTTCAGCCCAGGGAAGTGAAATAGAAATAGTCTGAATGTTCAAATATATTTATTATAATAAAATACTATGTAGCCATTAAGCATCCTATTCTTAAATAATGTTTTAAGAATACAGGAAATTTTCCCAAAAATAGTTTTTAGTGAAAAGGATAAATTATAAAAGAAATTCTTGTTATAATCTCAATCACATAGAAAAAAGATAAGTCTACAGAAAAGACAGCAAGAGTATAACATAAATTCATAATTGTGGCCTGAAGGTAGGATTGTGGCTAATTTTTATTTTTTTCTTCATAATTGTTTACATGTTTCAGTTTTTCTAAAATGACTTAAGTATTATAAACGTCAAAACTTCAATCAATAATAAGGTTCTTCAGCTAATAAGTGGTAGAGCTGGATATAAACCTAAGACATCTAGATTATGTTATCTTCAGTGTTCTTCAAGGTTATGAACAGCCGTACAATAAGGAAAAAAATACCATATTCTCCTTTCTTTAGTCATGACCAAATTATTCCAATACATATATACCTACCTGGATTCTCCTTCATCCTCCACGTGTTCACAATGGACAGAGTTGAGAGCACTGACTCTCTTATAATCTTGAGGGGTCAGATATAAATACCTGTATCCCTGTGAAGCACACATAGTTTTTAACTCATTATTTGCCATTGTCATATAACCAGAAGATACAGCAAAGCATACATAATGAAGCTTGTTCCACAGCTAGCTTTAAATTGCCACATCACTTCTTAGGTTTACTGTCTAATAGAATACTAGCACAGACAGTCCTCCTTTGAAAGATGGAAGTGCCTATTTTTTCAGTCACTAACTGTCCTTGAGACAAGATACCTTATAGCTGCAATTCTAAGTATATTCCATTCATTTCATTTTCTCTTTTTTTTTTTGAGACGGAGTCTCGCTCTGTCGCCCACGCTGGAGTGCAGTGGCGCAATCTCGGCTCACTGCAAGCTCCGCCTCCTGGGTTCACGCCATTCTCCTGCCTCAGCCTCCCGAGTAGCTGGGACTACAGGAACCCGCCACCTCGGCTGGCTAATTTTTTGTATTTTTAGTAGAGATGGGTTTTCACCATGTTAGCCAGGATGGTCTCGATCTCCTGACCTCATGATCCGCCCACCTCGGCCTCCCAAAGTGCTGGGATTACAGGTGTGAGCCACCGTGCCCAGCCTCATTTCATTTTCAACAGGGTTAAAGGGTCATTTTCTGATCTTTAGTGACATCTCTATTAAAGATATCAACATGAAACTGAAGAATTGTGTGAATTACTGTTTTTCACTCTCTCAAATCCACAGGATCATCAAAATAAATACAAGCAAGGGATAACAGAGAACTGCAAATCTAGGAGATTCAATATTAAAATCAGAAGTCTATACAGTGCTAATAGTGAACACTGAACTCAGATCTTTTGTTTCTTCAATAAACAACTCCCGCCGGGCGCGGTGGCTCAAGCCTGTAATCCCAGCACTTTGGGAGGCTGAGACGGGCGGATCACGAGGTCAGGAAATCGAGACCATCCTGGCTAACATGGTGAAACCCTGTCTCTACTAAAAAATACAAAAAATTAGCCGGGCATGGTGCCTGTAGTCCCAGCTACTCGGGAGGCTGAGGCAGGAGAATGGCGTGAACCCGGGAGACGGAGCTTGCAGTGAGCCGAGATCGCGCCACTGCACTCCAGCCTGGGCGACAGAGCGAGACTCCGTCTCCAAAAAAAAAAAAAAACTCCTAATGCGCATTTACATTTAAACAATTATACTAACATTTTATAATTGATTTATATGTATCTATACACACATCCACATACAAAATAGAGTTACATGGTATATGTGTTTAACTTAAGTGAATTAGTCACTCAGTCAAAAAAATAAGTAAACACAGGGAAGCATTTAAAATACTATGAGAAATTATGCCCACCATTTAACTCAATAAATGTATGTCCCACAGTGAGCACAACATGGAAAAGACATAAATCTGCAATTGGTCTTGCATGATTTGTGTTGAGAATGCCTGATAGCACTGAGTGTCATTAGTACGTCAGTCAGTACACATTTACTGAGTGCCTATTATGTACAAGGTACTATTCTAGGCACTGGAAAAACAGGAATTAACAAAAATAGACAAGAATTCCTACCCTTATGAAACATACCTCCTACTGGGAAAGCCAGCAAAATACACAAAATAAGTAAAATGTATAATGTTAATGGGAATAATGTTTAACGAAAAAAAAAAAACGAAAGAGAAGGTAGACAGTCCAACTTTTAGAAAAAATAACCAAGGAAAGCCTCATTGAAAAGTGTCATTTGAGTAAAGACCTAAATGAGCTGAGGCTATGAGACATGAGGATATCTGAGGAAAAAGCATTCTAGGTAGAAGCAACAGCAAGTACAAATGCACTGAGGCATGATGTACTTCGCAGGTTTAAGAAAGCAGAGTCGGGTAGAGCCAATATGTGGAATAAGGTTGGGGGAGGCTGTAGCAAGAAATGAGGGCAGAGTGGTACTGGAAAGCCAATCTATGTAAGGCCTTGTAGGCAACTATAGGATCTTTGGCTTTTACTTGAATGAACTGGGAAGCTATTAAAGGGTTTTAAGCAGAGAAAAATTTTGTGATCTGATTTCTATTTTAATTGGATCATTCTACCTGGTTTTTTTGTTTGTTTGTTTTTTGTTTTTGAGTAGAGTCTCCTTCTGTCTCCCAGGCAGGAGTGCAGTGGTGTGATCTTGACTCACTGCAACCTCTGCCTCCTGGGCTAAAGCAATTCTCCCACCTCAGTCTCCCAAGTAGTTGGGATTACAGGCACCCATCACAATGCTCAGCTAATTTTTATATTTTTAGTAGAGAGAGGGTTTCACCACGTTGGCCAGGCTGTTCTTGAACTCCTGACCTCAAGTTGATCCGTCTGCCTCAGCCTCCCAAAGTGCTGGGATTACAGGCATGAGCATGAGCCACCACACATGGCCTCATTCTACATTCTGTTGAGGACAGACCTTGGGTGGGACTGGGAGCAAGGCCAGAGGCAGGAAGACCAGTTAGGAGGGTACTGCAATATGGAGGTAAGAAGAGTTAGACTACTGCTACTGTTAGTAAGTAGCAGTGGAATTGGATAGAAGTACTCAGATTCTAGATATATTTTAAGGTAGGGATATAAACATGATTTACTGTTTAGATGGATGAATGGGGTGTGGAAGTGAATGTGGGGTGTGCAAGAAAGACAGAAGTCAAGAATAACTCCAAGGTCTTTCACTTGAACAAATGAAACAATAGAGGTACCATCTGTTGAGACAGAGAAGACTGTGGGAAGAACACATTAAAGGAAGATTAGAAGCTACAATTTAGGTAGACATTTAGGCAGATGTAAGTGGAGATGTTGAGTCTGGATATATGAATCTTGTGTTCAGGGGTAAGATATAAATTTGGACATTTATCAGCTTGTACATTAAACTTAAAGCTTTAAAAGACTGGATGAGGCTAGGTGCGGTGGCTCACACCTCTAATTCCTGCACTTTGGGAGGCCAAGCCGGGCGGATCACTTTGAGCTCACGAATTCAAGACCAACCTGGGCAACAGGGCGAAACCCTGTCTCTACAAAAAACAAAAAATTAGCCGAGCTTGCTGGTGCATGGCTGTAGTCCCAGTTACTCAGGAGGCTGAGGCTGGAAAATTGCTTCAACCCAGGAGGTGGAGGATGCAGTGAGCTGTAATCGCACCACTGTACTCCAGCCTGGGCAACAGAGTGAGACCCTATCTCAAAAAAACAGAACAAAACAAAAAGACAGGATGAGGTCACCAAGGGAAGGTAAATAGGAAAAGGAGTAGTCCAGGGACCAAGCCCTTGAATCACTTTTTTCCTTCTACCCTACTTTCTATAATGGCTGTCTTGCCAAACCAACAGGTGAGAGGACATTGAGTCCTAGTGGGGTTGAGAATGGGGAGTCCAGAACTTCTTGTTCCCACTGCAGCCTCTGTGCTCCTGACATGTCCCCATTCACATTTTTTTTTATAATTTAAAAAACTGGCCAAGCACAGTGGCTAATGCCTATAATCTCAGCATTTGGGGAGGCCGAGGTGGGAGGATCACTTGAGGCCAGGAGTTTGAGACAAGTCTGGGCAACATAGCAAAACCTTGTCTTTATGAAAAATAAAAAAATTAGCTGGGTGTGGTGGTGTGCGCCTGTAGTCCCAGCTACTTGGGAGGTGGAGGTGGGAGGATCACTTGAGCCCAGAAGTTGGAAGACGCAGTAGGCTATGAATGTGCCACTGCACTCCAGCCTGGGTGACAAAGCAGGACACTGTCTCTTAAAAAAAAAGAGAGAAAATTAATATAACATAAAATTCAACATTTTGGTTTTTAAAGGTTTTTTTGAGTCTCACTCTGTCACCCAGGCTGAGTGCAATGGCACGATCCTGGCTCACTGCAACCTCTGCCTCCTGCATTCAAGCAATTCTCATGCCTCTCTGCCTCCTGAAAAACTGGGATTACAGACGTGTGCTACCATGACCGGCTAATTTTTTATATTTTAGTAGAGATGGTATTTCGCTATGCTGGCGAGGCTGATCTTGAACTCCTGGCCTCAATTGATCTGCCTGCCTTGGCCTCCCAAAATGCTGCGTTACAGACGTAAGCCACTGCATCCAGCCAAAATTCACCATTTTGAAATGTATATAACTCAGTAAATTTTAGTATATTCAGATGTTGTGCAACCATTACCACTAATTCCAGAATATTTTCATCAGCCCCAAAAAACCCCCTGTATTGGATCAATTTTCATATTTTAATAAAGTTGTTCTGTGAACTTTATTGAAGTATAATTTACATGCAACAAAATTCATCAGTTTTAAGTGTTATAATGTGATGTTATGACAAATGTATGTACTTAAGTAGCCACCACCAGAGTCAGAATATAGAGTATTTCCATCATCTCCTGAAATACTCTTATATTTAGAGATGTGAAAGACAGCAAAGGAAACTGAAAAAGAGGAGCCAGAAATGCAGGAAGATAAAAAGGAGACTTTGGGCTCTTGGAAGCCAACAGAAGAAAGTACTTCAAGGATGAAGGAATGACTAACTGTGTCAAATGCTAATGCTATTGTCAAATAACTAAGGTGAGGACTGAGAATTCACCATAGAATTCAGTAATATGGAATACTGGTGACCCTGACAAAAAGCAGCTACAGTGGAATGATAAGGGTGCAAGCTCAACTGAAATGGGTTCAAGAGGGAATGGGAGAAGAACATCTGGAGACGGCAAGAACAAACAACTCTTTTAAAAACATTTTCCTATAAAAGGAAGGAAGGGAGGGATAGTGACTGGAGGGGTGTTGGTATGCTACAAGGGCTGATACAATACAGAAGGAAAAAGTGCTGATGCATGAAAGAGCAGGGAGAAGTGTTAATCATACACTTAAGTTGGCAAGAAAGGAGATCAAGTGTATAAGAGGAGGGATTGGCTTTAGACAGAAGTAGGAACTGTTCAAAGTGTAGAAGAGAAGGTGAAGAGTAAGGGCACAACGGATGCAGGTACATGGGAGCTTGTAGAAGCTCTCTTCTCATTGTTTCTCTTTTCTTGAATATTGGGAAGCAAGGTCTGACAATATCAGCTGAGTGGGGAGAGGGAAGTAGATGTTAGAGGTTTGAGGGGAGAGATGTGAAACCGTCATCCAGGAGGTTGGTAAGCTTGAATTTAAAGTAAGACCAGTCAACAGAACTGTTTTTTTCTCCATCAAAGTTGAGCTGGGCAGGTGCAGGCATGGAAGCAGAATGGAGAGAATTGGATTTAAACAAGGTTTCTGTAAAGGCACAGAGTAAGCAAAGAGAGATGCAAGTTGAAGCAAGTTGAGAGAGAAAGTTGAAGGTGTAGAAAAGATGGTGATTATAATGATTAATCAAGGAGTTGACCCTGGAGTTTAAGCTAGATAGGAATGAAATGAGGTGTAAAGAGGGAGTGAAGAACAGAAGAAAGGTGGGAGGATCAACAGGTGAGTTCAACTCAATGGTCCTGATGATTTCAAAGGATTGTCAGACTACAGAGAGAGAGAGCTGAAAAGAGGACGGAGGGGGTGGCAAAGAAAGAGATACTTGAAATTGAGATTATGGGGAATGAGAGGCTGGGCTAGGGTATAGGATAGAACCATTAGAAGAAAAGGAGTCAAGGATCCAAGAAGCCAGATTATGGGAAGGATCATCTATGTGGATATAGCAATCACCAAGAATTATCACATGACTAGTAGTAATGGACAGAGTGACAATGTGCCAGGAACTAAAAGATGCAAAGAATGAGAGGGAGTGACCAAAGGATCAGGAAACACAAGGAGCAGTGAGGGTATGGCACAGTCTGATGACATGAGATTCAAAGATGGGATTTTTTCAGAGAGAAGGGAGAGGTGTCCGGAAGCAGCAAGGAGGGTAAGGAGGACAATATTCCCCTTCCAGGCTCAGTGGTACAAAAGAAAGACAGAAATCAGTCAGTACTCCAGAGGGCTACGGGGGAAGCAATATCTTTAGAGGAGAGACAGATCTCAAGGTGAACAAGGAGGTTGGAGTAGAAGATGAGGAGGTAAGGGATTTTGTTGATGATTGACCATAAATCCTGGAAGCCACAATGAAATAGTTTAAAGATAGATATTTTTGGTTTAGCATGTCTCACACTAAATGCATACCTACTATTTCATCTAGTGCTCAACCAAAGAAATAGCAACCTGTTTTATAGTTGGAAGAAAAACCAGGTGAACATATTGAGAAATAATTTGTCTCTAATATGGTGTCTTAAGGAATTTTCATAAATAATTTTGTTTATATTTAATTTTTACCATAAGTGGTGATTTTTGAACTTAAACCTCTACCTTTCCCCTACCTATCCACACATGTAGCATAACCATATAGCACTTTGAAATATTATATGTTCTTAGTGTGTACCTTGTAAGGATCCTCAGGATCTACCCAGGCCACATGAAACATATGACGAATTTCTTCTGCCAGTCCGATTCTTGCTCCACTGTTGGCTGATACATAGATGCGTGGAATACCTTCTGCCCTGGCAAGTTCAGAAGCTCTGAGAAATAACCAATCCTCTTGAGGCCCAAAGGACCCAATTCGGTATGTGATGTCATTGCCAATAACAATGATATCTCGGCCTTCTGGATATTCAGGACTTTTAAAGGTCATTTTCCAAGCTACCATGCCAATCTGGAAAGGCATAAACAAACGAATGAACAGAAGTTTTTTACATGCAGAATTTTTTCCAGGTTCCTTGAAGGTATCAGAGTATACCTAGGCACAGCCATTATGTAAAGATACACATTGCTAAAGAGCCACACTCCCTGTGGGAAACTAAAAAGACATTCTAATATGCTGCTAGATTATGCTGGGAACAGCTGATCTACTGTGTATTTCAAAACTGTCTCAATTCCTTCTTTGGGCCTGCTCAAAGAAGGCAGAAAAGCTAAAATCTAAATGCACTCAGGATACATGTGGAAGAATGCCATGGCACTGTTGATTAATTTCTCATTTTACTGCCATATATACTAAGACACTGATATGGTTTGGATGTCTGTCCTCTCTAAATCTCATGTTGAGATATGATCCCTAATGTTAGAAATGGGGCCTGGTGTGAGGTGTTTGGGTCATGGGGTGGATCCCTCATGAATAGCTTGGTGCTCCCCTCTGATCTGAGTTCATGCTAGATCTGGCTGTTTGAAAGAGTGTGGCCTTTTGCGGGTGAAAGCAAGCATGTAGAGAGTGCTATGAACGCCTTGGGCACACTACGAGAGTACAAGGTGGTGGGTTGCTGCCTGCCCACCCCCAAATACCACATGCTGCCCTTCTGTGGTATGTGAATCTTTGCACCTAATCATGTCACTGCCAAGTCCCGCCTCTGGTACTTGGTATCTCAGCAAAAGAAGATAAGAAGTCTTCAGGGAAAATTGTCTACTGTAGGTAGGTGTTTGAGAAATTCCCCCTGCAGGTGAAGAAATCTGGCATCTAGCTGCACTACGACTCCTGTAGCAGCACCCACAACATGTACTGGATACCAGGACTTGACCACCATGGGTGCTGTCATCCAGTGCTAGTGAGACATGGGCACCTGGCATCACACACAGGCCCACTCCACCCAGATCATGAAGGTGGAAACTGCGGTCAGCAAGTGCTGCCAGCTGGCGGTCAAACAGTTCCATGACTCTGAGATCAAGTTCCCACTGCCCCACGGGGTCCTGCATGGTTAGCATAAGCCATACTTCACCACCAAGAGGCCCAACACCTTCTTCTAGGTGCAGGGCCCTCTCACCCAGGGGTGACTCAAATTAACTCAAGAATGTCATGGTGCAAAAAAAAAAAAAAGAGTGTGGCACCTTGTCCCCCACCTCTCTCTTGCTCCCTCTCTCACCATGTAATGGCTGGGTCCCCCTTCACCTTCCTCCAAGATCATAAGCTTCCTGAGACCCTTACCAGAAGCCCAACAGATGCAGTTGCCATGCTTATAGAGCCTGCAGAACCATGAGCCAAATTAACCTCTTTTCTTGATAAATTATCCAGCCACAGGTATTCCTTTATAGCAACACAAATGGACTAACACAGACACTTCTCCATCTTTTGTGACATTTGTTCCAAGAAATCTTCAACACACAAGGAAGCAGAAAAAAAATCACTTCTCATGGACTGTACACTTTTCATGATCCAGGCTCCTTGTACTGTCCTCTAGCATTTGATAGGAATAACAGAAACACTCCTTACTGGTTTGTTTCAGGTACGTTCCATTTCTGCAAGAATTTACTAATGCTCAACATTGCATCCTTGTGAGCATCTCTTGCTTTCTCCCAGCACCAGAAAACCAAAGGATGGAAAGAACTAATCTCTTGATGCACTATATGTAAATCTCTGCTCTCTGTTCAGCAGCATATGGCCAGCGACATAAATAAATGATATTGACTTAAAAGGCAGAGGTGACATGTCTCTTCCCACACTCTCATAGCCCTCTCCTGTTTTAATCCCCTTCGATATGAGAACTAGTCAATCCTTCTACTTGTATATTTGCTAGTTCCATTTCTTTTCTATTCTATTCACTCATACTCTAGTTACAGCTGTAGTTTTTCATGTCTGCCTGTTTCCCCTATACCTGGATAAGTAATGTTTTTCATTCATTTTTCCCCCTTTCTTTCTGTCTCTCACCCCCCTCCTTGCCCCCACCACTCGCCACCAAACACAAAGCCTACCTACCAGATGAGCATCCCTGGTTCTGCCTAATGGAGCCCAGCCACATCTGCAGCCTTGGTCCCTCATCCCCAGGCTGCCGCATATCACCTCATTGGGGAGCTGGCCATCAAGAAGGGCCATTAACAGATGTAAATAGCAGCATCCCTGGAAAGCCACATGCATCACCCAGACTCAACCGGGCCAGTGATCATAAGCTCTGAGTACACATTCCTCAATCCAATTGCACATCCACTGTAATCAGGCTGGTTGAAGCATTCTACACAGCTATTTGTGATTCTCAGCATTAGGAAATATATAGATGAAACACCCACAGATAAATATAAGCTATTTAATATATCACACCATTGGCCAAATACAAATCAAAATGGATATAACACATAGAAAAAAATCCAATCACTTTCTAAGATAAAGTATTACTCCATCTACTCATTAAAGACAGAGAAAGGAAGGAAAAATAGATCATTCAAAAAATAGCACAGCGAACACTCAAATTTCAGGATAATTTTGGTTATGGTTTCTAAGAAGCTAGTTAATATAATCCCTGTACAAGCAGAAATATTTTATCTGCCTTCGCACATGCCCCCTTAACCCTAAATCTTTTGTTTTTCAGGAAGGAAAAGCTATTTCCTGTCAATTTTCCTCTAAATGCATTTGTAGTTAGAAAGATTGGGTTTTACACCAAATTTTATGATATATTAACCTTAGCCACATAGGCCAGAAGCAGATTAGATACAAGCCCTGAAGAATCTACTTCAGCATTTGTGTGCTAATGTAAACATTGTGACCTGGGCAGGCAAATAATACTCTTATCTTTCATTACTACCTGGGGACTCTAACTGTGTCACTTGGGCAGTGAGTTCAGCAATTGGCTAGGTCATTATGCTTGCAATATTGACTTCTAATTAGGTGTCAACACAGCAGCACCAAGAACACAATACTCTTTATCAACGTCTTTCCAAAGAGTGTTGCTCATCGACCGACCCCTCCTCCTGTCTTAAAAAGTACCATTACAGAATAGAGAGTGTTATTCCAGTCTTAGTGCAGCAAGATTCCTGATTGGAAGACATTCAGTTCTGAGGTAGCATGATGGACAAACATCTAAGAAAGCATTTATTATTCAATTTACATTAAAATTTAGATTTCACTGCTAATCAAAGGATAGGGTATATAAAGGTGAACATGGGCTTTAGAGTCCAACAAACTTAGATCCAAATCCAGGTGCTATCACTTATATTAACTAACTGTGTGATCTTAAGAAAATTAATTTAATTTTACTGAGCTTCAATGTCCCCACATGCGAAATTAAGAAAATAATAGCCATGGGTTTGATAAACACACTATTAAAAGCAGAAATCTACTATATTAACTTCTACATAAAAAACTTTGTCTTTCTCTCTCCTCTCCCCTCACTCTGTCCAAATCTTACCCATTCCAAAAGGTTCATCCAAATTCCATTTCCTCAGTAAAGCTTCTCCCAGCCTAAAGTAATTCCTCTCTTTTCTGATCTCCTACTAAGACCTCTGTGTAGAGAATTTTTTTTTTTTTTTTTTTTTTTTTGAGACAGAGTCTCGCTCTGTCACCCAGGTGGGAGTGTAGTGGTGCAATCTTGGCTCACTTGCAACCTCCAACTCCTGGGCTTAAGACAATCCTCCCACCTCAGCCTTCCAAATAACTAGGACTACAGGCATGTGCCTTCACACTCGGCCAATTTTTGCATTTTTTTTGTAGAGACAAGATTTCACCATGTTGCAGGCTGGTCTTGAACTCCTGGCCTCACGCCATCGTCCTGCCTCGGCCTCCCAAATTACTGGGATTATAGGCATGAGCCGCCTTGCCCAGCCTGAGAATTCTTCTGATAACTAATCATAGGCTGCTTAGGATTGCTCTTGGCTTACCATCTTGAACAATTTTATCATCTCCTCTAGTGCTTCCCAGGAACACTACACATAGTAAGGGAGTAATAATGCTTGCTAGTTCCAGAGTCTTTTTATTTTTCAATTTTTTTTTTTTTTTTTTTTAAGACAGGGTCTTGCTCTGTCACCTAGGCTGGAGTGCAGTGGTGCAAATACAGCTCACTGCAGCCTCGGCCTCCTGGGCTTAAGTGATTCTCCCTTTCAGCCTCCTGTGTAGCTGGGACCACAGGCGTGTGTGTCACCACCATGCCCAGCTAATTTTTTTTATTTTTTGTAGAGACGGGGTCTCACCATCTTACCCAGGATGGTCTTGAACTCCTGGACTCAAGTGATCCTCCCGTCTCGGCCTCCCAAAATGCTGGGATTATAGGTGTGAGCCACTGCGCCCTGCCTCACTTCTAAAAATAATACTTGAAAAATAGTTAACACCAAGGGCACAGAACATTGTCTGCCACATATATTTTAGAAGTCATGGAATAAGAGTCCTAGTCTTAAACTATTTTATTTTAAAAATAACAATAGCTATCATAATAACTACCATTAATTGAACATTTACTATCTGCTGTACTGTTCTAAAAGTTGACAACTACTGATAGTGGTTAAGAGCTTAAGCTGCAAAGTCAAGCTGTCTTGGTTCAAATCTCAGCTTTATGCTAGCTGTATAACCTTGTACACTTCACATTTTATAGCTTTACTTTTCCAGTTATAAAATGGGGATGACAGATTCTTTCTGGAGGTATTGTTGTAACACCATATTAAACTAGTACAGAGCCTGGCATACAAAAGCCCTCAAATGGTAGTTATTATTAACTCAAAGGTAGCTGTTATTATTGCCATAAGGAAATTAAGGCACAGAGAAATTAAGTAACTTGTCCTTATAGCTAATGTGAATTGTTTATTTTACTTTATTTTATTTTATTTGAGATGGAGTCTTGCTCTGTCGCCCAGGCTGGAGTGCAATGGTGCGATCTCGGCTCACTGCAACCTCTACCCCCTGAGTTCAAGCAATTCTCCTGCCTCAGTCTCCTGAGTAGCTGGGATTACAAGTGCATGCCACCAGGC